CAGATGTTCACCTGCACATCTGCTAACGTGGTCTATTGCATTCGCTGTTCCCGATGTGGCCTCCTCTACATTGGCGAGACCAAGCGGAGGCTCGGAGACCGCTTTGTAGAGCGCCTGCGCTCGGTTCATGACGAACGACAACACTTTCCAGTTGCGAATCACTTCAACTCCCCCTCCCACTCCCTGGAGGGCATGGCCATCCTAGGCCTCCTCCAGTGTCATGACAGCAGCACCCGGAAACTGGAGCAGTAGTACCTTATATTCCGCCTTGGGAGCCTACAACTCAATGGTCTCAATGTGGACTTTACTAGCTTCAAAATCTCCCCATTCCCGACCTCATCCCAAGACCAACCCTCCCTCTCATCTCCGCCTTCTTGACCTGTCCATCTATCTGCTCCTCCCACCTCACTAACCAATTCCCACTACTACATACCTTCACTCAACTATCACTATCCCACCTACCTTCCCCAGCCTGCCCTCCCTCTATTTATTTCAGAGCCCCCTTCCCCACCCCCATTTCTGAAGGGTACCAACCCAAAACGTCAGCTTTCCTGCTCCTCTGATGCTACCTGGCCTGCTGTGTTCCTCCAGCTCCGCACTGTTATCTCAGACTCCAGCACTGGCAGTTCTTACTATCTCTATATCTATATCTATGCTCCTATATCTATTTATTGTGGTCTTATGAAGAGGTCAGAATGGGAACTGGAATTAAAGAAGTAAAGCACAGAGATCAGGGTTACACTTGTGGATAAAAGGGATATTTTGCTAAAATAAATCACAATTTCCACACTGTCAAGAGCAAATACAGCATACTAGATTTCAAAAAGCACATTGAAATGTTGCTTTCCATGCAGAAGGAACTCTCAGCCTGGAAGATACAGAATAGATGAGTTATCTAGGCAAATCATGCAGGAGTGCAAAGACAAAAGCTAATAATCAAGAAGTGTTAGAGCAGACAGGAATATATTTGGAGAGCAGTTTGTCAGGAAAACAGTCGGGAAGGGATGAATGTGTCTAATTCAGAGATCACAGTACAAGTGGTACAAAACAACTGGGCAAAACGTCAAAAAAGGTGGTCAGTTGTTCTGGATCCTTTGATTGTGGGACTGGGAAGGAAGGAAAGAGTGGGGATTAGAGCAGAGGCTTGACAAATTGATTAATCTAGAATCCTTGGTCCGTCATGCAAACCGCAAATAAAGAAAAAAAAATTACTGAAAAGGACATTTCAAAAACTTTGAAGCAGTTTGTAACTACAGAAAAAGTACAAGAATCGAGACAGAAGATGGACTTGTGACAAAAATTTACATAACTTTGTCATTTATATAAATGATTTGGATGTGAACATAGGAAGTATGGTTAGTAAGTTTGCAGATGACACCAAAATTGGTGGTGTAGTGGACAGCCAAGAAGGTTACTTCAGAGTACAACAGATGGGCCAGTGGGGTGAGGAGTGGTAGATGGAGTTTAATTTAGATAAATGTGAGGTGCTGCATTTTGGAAAGGCAAATCAGGGCAGGACTTCATGGAAAGGACCTGGGGAGTGTTGCTGAACAAAGAGAACTTGGATTGCAGGTTCATTGTTCCTTGAAAGTGGAGTCACAAGTAGAGTGTTTAGTATGCTCGCCTTTATTGGTCAGTGCATTGAGTATAGGAGTTGGGACGTCATGTTGTGGCTGCACAGGACATTAGTTAGGCCACTTTTGGAGTACTGCATTCAATTCTGGTCTCCCTGCTATAGGAAGGACGTTGTGAAACTTGAAAGGGTTGAGAAAAGATTTACAAGGATGTTGCCCAGGTTGGTGGGTCTGAGTTTTAGGGAGAGGCCAAATAGGCTGGGGCTTTTATTCCCCTGGAGCATTGGAGACTGATGGGTGACCTTATAGAGGTTTATAAAATCATGAGGGGCATGGATACAGTGAATAGCCAATGTCTTTTTCCTCCAAGGTAGAGAAGCTCAAAACCAGAGGGCATAGGTTTAAGGTGAGAGGGGATAGATTTAAAAAGGGACCTGAGGGGCAATGTTTTCATGCAGAGGGTGGTACACCTGTGGAATAAACTGCCAGAGGAAGTGGGTACAATTACAACATTTAAAAATGTTGTAAAGGCACCTGGATGGGAACATGAATAGAAAGGCTTTAGAGAGATATGGGCCAAATGCTTGTCAATGGGAATAGATCAGTTTAGGATATCTGGTCAGTGCAAGCAAGTTGGACTGAAGGATTGGTTTCCACACTGTATAACTCGATGACTATGAATATCTTAAGCAGGTGAAGTTTAGGGTGGGAAGAGAAGGATCAAAATTGGATCATCTTAAAAAGGTAATGGGTGAATCAGATTTAAAAGGCGGTGAATGAAAACTTGAGAATCAGAGCAAGTGCAAGGAGAATTATCAAGGCAGCTAATTCAAAAGTCAGTTGAAAAACCTTAGACAAATCCAGGCCCTTTCAGTTTCAGTTTTGAAAAACCAATGCAAAATTTTTAACTAGTCGTGGTCTGGAAATTTGCGCAAACGACACACTTTCACAAAAGGTTCCTCAACTGTTCTGCACATTCCTTTTCTAGGAGAAGCTATTCTTACATAGAAAACTTGACTGATGTCCTTTCAGCTGGAGAGCTTTCCCATCACTTGATTTTTCCAAATTAAAATCAACCCTTCATAATTCTAAAAGGTAAAAGCAACCCGATTCTTTTCTTTCATACATCTCCACAATTTAAACAAACTCCCATTATCCCTCCAGGGTGCCTCCATTTATCTGCTTTCTGGCACATACTGGTGTAAGATCATAGTTCTAAAAAGATAGATCTAGTTAATTATTCAAACTTTCCACAAAAAGAGACCAACACCCATATGCACTTGGCTTGAAATCCAAACTCAAAATTATATACACACACCTTGCATCACTGCTGGCCTTGCCAGCTATGCCAACGTTTCATTAACAAGGAATAAAAACAATAAATTTATTACAAATAGTGTGGTTTCAAAGATCAAAACAAGTGTTCCACCTAAATGATTGATTCATGTCACTGTATTAAGGAGTTATAGCTGGGCACTTAGCAAGTCTCAATGTAATCAGGAAGCGGTTCTCCAGCAGGGTAAATCATGTTTAACCAATTTATTGGAGTTCTTTGAAGAAGTAAATGCACTGCAGGTAAAGGGGAGCTTGTAGATGTACGGTACTTGGATTTGTAAAAAGGCATTTGACAAGGTGCCACAAAGTAGGAGGTCATGGTGTTGGGCTACAAGCATGTTATATGCATCCTGGCATGGATACAAGATTGACTGGCTCACAGAAAGATCATGCATAAATGGGTCTTTTTCTGATTGGCAGAATATGACCATTAGAATCCCACAAGGATCTAGGCTGGGCCCCCTTTTTCCCCCCAACATATATCAATGACTTGAACAAAGGGAACAAAGCCATGGCAATTACCTTTGTGTTATCTGCAAAACTCAGTAAACGTATGGAAGACACAGACGGATTTAGATAGGTTGAGTGAGTGGGGGGAAAATAAAAATCTACGTCAGTGTATAATGTGGGAAAATGTGAAGTGATTCACTTAGGCAGGGAGATTTAAACAGTTCAGTAGTATCTAAATGGAGAACAACTGCAGTATTCTGAGATGTGGAGGGATCTAGGTCTTCTAGCGCAGGAGTCTCAAGAAGTTAGTACACAGGTACAACAAGTAATTAAAAAGGCTGTTTATGTTCAATTACTCCCTATGCTTCAGTTGTACAGGGCATTAGAGAGGCCACATCCTAACTAGTGTGTAGTTTTGGTCTCCTTATTTAAGGAACGAGGTAAATATGTTGCAGGCATTTCAGAGGTGGTTTACTTGATTAATACATGGAATGAGCAAGTTCATCTTAGGGGAAGAGATTTGACAGACTGGGCTAGTTTCCACTGGAGTTCAAAAGAGACTTGACTTCAAGTATAAAATATCTTGAATAGTCTTGCTGAGGAGGAGATGGCAAGAACATTCCCTCGAGGGCGAGTCCAGAGCTAGAAGGCACTGTTTAAACATTAGGGTTCACCTTTTTAGGTCAGAGATGAGGAGATTCTTCTGAGGGTTGTGCGACTTTGTACCTCTACCTTGGGAAGCAGAGGAGGATGGTCATTGAGCATTTTTAAAGCAGAGGTAAATCAATTCCCCTGCCTCAGAAAATTCTACGGTTAGAGGGAAATGGGAACGTGGAATTCAAAATACAAACAGATCAACTATGATCTTATTGAATGTCAGAGCAGGCTCAAGGGCTGAATGCCTTCTTCTGCTCTTAATTTCATAAGGATATTCTTGTCAGAGTCATGGAGTCATACAGCATGGAAACAGACCCTTTTGTCCAAGCAGTCCACACCGACTATGTTCCCAAACTAACTAGTCCCACCTGCCTGAACTCAGCTTATGTCCCTCCAAACCTTTACTCATGAACTTATCCAGATGCCTATTAAACATTGTAACTGTACCTGCATCCACCACTTCCCTCTGGCAGCTCATTTCACACGCAAAGGACTTGCTGAATTAAAAAGTTGTCCCTCATGTCCCTTTTAAATCTTCCTCCTCTCACCTTAAAAACACGCCACCTAGTTTTGAACTCTCCCATCCTAAGGAAAAAACGCTTGTCAGTCACCTGTGCCCTCCATTTTATAAACCACGATAAGGTCAGCCCTCAAACTCCTACGCTTCAGTGAGAACAGTACCAGATTTACTAGTCTATTTTTATATCTCAAACCCTCTATTCCCAGCAACATCCTGGTAAACTTTTTTGAACCCTCTCAGTTTAATAACAGCCTTCCTATAAACAGGGCGACCAACACTTGCAGACAGTACTCCAGAAAAGGCCTCAAAATGTCCTATACAACCTCAACATGACATCTCAACTCCTCTACTCAAAAGTTCTCAGCAATGAAGGCAGGAGTGTTAAACACTTTCTTGACCACCCTGTCTACTTGTGACATAAATTTCAAACGTCCGTCCTCAACCTCAAGGGATGTAACATTAACTTAAACAAATGACAACTGAAAAAGAAAAACAATAACCAGAGATAATAACTGGAATTTTGAATGTTAACATAGGGTTTAATTGGGGAATAAAAAGGCATTGCAATGTGTTATTACATTAACATTTCCTGTTACATCTACATGCTAGAAAACAGATCATGTTAACAAGAATAGTTTTTTTATTTTCATTACTCAGCTCACCAGAAATAGGACACAAATTTTGTGTCATGTACAAGTGAACAAATGAAAAAGTACATCACAGGAACAGGCCCTTCAGCCCTCTAAGCCTGTGCCAACCATCATGCCCTAATTAACCTAAAATGCCAGATTTGTTTTTTCGATCCGTATCCCTCTATTTCCTCCCTATTCATGTACCCATCCAGGTGCCTCTTAAATGTTTTCAATGTGCCCACTTCCACCACCTCTTCTGGTAGTGCATTCCAGGCTGCTACCATTCTCTGCATGAAAAAATGTTCCTCGCACGGCTCCCTTGAACTTTCCTCTGAACCTATGCCCCCTTGTAATTGAAACTTCAATCTTGGAAAAGCCTCTGACTATCCACGCCGCTCATAATTTTGTACACCTGTGTCAGGTCTCCTCTCAGCCACCATCTTTCCAGTGAAAACAACCCTAGTCTTTTTAAACCTTTCCTCATAGCCAATGCCCTGGAGACCAGGCAACATCCTGGTGAACCTTCTCTGTACTCTCTCCAAAGCTTCCACATCCTTCTGGTAGTGTGGTGACCAAAACTGCACACAATACTCCAGATGCGGCCTAACAAGGGTTTATATAGCTGCAACATGTTTTGCCAACTCTTGTACTCCACACCCCGGGCGATGAAGGCAAGCATGCCATGTGCCTTCTTAAACACCTTGGCTACCTGTGTTGCCACTTTCAAGGAACTGTGGACCTGCCTGCCAGATCCATTTGAATGTTAGTGTTCCTAAGGGTTCTGCCATTTACAATATAATTCATACTTAAATTTGATCCTCCAAAATGCATCAACCTCACATTTGTCTGGGTTAAACTCCATCTGCCATTTCCGTGCCAAAGTCACCAACCTATCTCTATCCTGTTGCATTCTTCACAATCATTGGCACTATCAGCAACTCCACCAATCTTCATGTCATCAGCAAACTTGACCACCCACATTTTCCTCCAGATTATTTATATACTGCAAGCAACAAAGAACCTAAGACCGACCCCTGTGGAACACCACTAGTTACCGGTCTCCATTCTGAAAAACATCCTTCCACCCCTACCCTGTCTTCTACGACAAAGCCAGTTTTCTATCCATCTAGCCAGGCCACCCCCAATCCCTTGTGATTTTAGTTTTTGTACCAACCAGCCATGTGGAACTTGATCAAATGCCTTACTAAAGTCTATACAAACTACATCGACAGCCCTTCCCTCATCAATTATCCTCATTACCTCTTCAAAAAAATTCAATCAGGTTGGTGAGACATGACCTTCTCCAGACAACACCATGCTGCCTGTCACTAACCAGTCCATTTTCCTCCAAAAGCGCGTAGATCTTGTCCTTCAGCCTCTTCTCCAAGAGCTTCCTCACCACAGACATCAAGCTCATCGGCCTACAGTTTCCTGGATTATACTTACATCCCTTCATAAACAAGGGAATAACATTCACTAAGCTCCAGTCCTCTGGAACTTCGCCTGTGATCAACAAGGATGTGAAGATATCTGCCAATGCTCAAGTTATTTCCTCCCTTGCCTTAGTAACCTGGGCTAGATCCTATCTGGTTCTGGGGACTTGTCTATCTTAATGCAATTTAGGATTCCCAAAACTTCCTACTTCAGTATGTTGACATTCTCTAGTTTATTCAAATACAGAGTATCCACACTCATCCCTGACCTCAACGTTAGTCATGTCCTTCTCCTTGGTGAAAACCGACAGTACTCATTCAGGATCTCCCCCACTTCCTGTGGCTTGATGTACAACTTCCCTCCTTTGTCCTTGAGTGGGCCTACTCTTTCCCTGGTTACCCTCCTTCTCTTAACATATGCATAAAAAGCCTTGGGATTCTCCTTGACCCTGTTTGTTAAAGGCATTTCATGGCCCCTTTCTGTCTTCCCAGTTGCACATTTAAGTTCCTTCCTAATTTCACTGTACTCTTCCAGGGCTTTGTCAGTTTGTAAGTGCCTAGACTTGGCGTATGCTTGCCTTTTTTTGACTAATATCTTACAATTTCCCTTGTCATCCATAGTTCCGGAATCCTGCCATTCCTATCCTTTAGTTTTGCAGGGACATGCATGCCCTGCACTTTAGTCAATTGGTCTTTAAAAGCCTCCCACATGCCAGAGGTAGATTTGTCCTCAAATAACTGCTTCCAATCCACATTCTCCAGTTCCTGTCTAATTTGAGTGTAATTGTCTCTTGACCAATTATGCACACTCACCCAAGGGCCACTTGTGTCCTTTTCCATGACTACTCGAAAGCTTATGGAGTTATGGTCACTAAGCCCGAAATGCTCTCCTAATGAAACAGCAATCACTTGTCCTGGCTCATTCCCTAGGACCAAGTCTAATATGGCCTCTTCTGGTTGGTTTGTCAACATACTGCCTCAAAAAGCCCTCCTGGACACAACTAACAAATTGCTCTCCATCCAAGCCCCTGGCTCTAAGGGATTCCCAGTCAACAAGAGGAAAGTTGAAGTCACCCACCACAACTACCCTGCTCTTTTCACTTTTCCAGTCGTGATTACTTACCTGCTCCTGTCTACTGTGGGCTACTGGGAGGTCAATAGAAAACTCTCAACATTGTGATTGCACCCTTCCTATTCCTGAGGTCCACCCATAATGCCTCAATGCAAGATCCCTCCAATGTGTCCTCCCTCAACACAGCTGTGATGTAAACAGATCTGTTCCAACAAAAATTCAACTAAAGGCAAGGGTACAAGGAAAAGATGAATTAGTTTACATACCTCTCTCATAGCTTCAATTTCTGGATTGTTTTCAGTGAGTAGAAGGTGATCAGAATCTTGAGTGTCTTGGTTTGCAATTTTTATAGGTGTCGGTGCTGGAGAAGGTTCAGCAGCAGTGCTGGCAGCAGAACCCGTCTCTGTCTAATAATAAAAACAAGAAGTTCTACATTTGAAAGCATTAGATTGGCTCAATTATTAGTAGTCTTTGTTTCTGATTCAAGAAATATGGCTATAAATGCATCAAAGGATTTCAACACAAAATATATGCCAACACTTCAACTATAATGGAAAATGCTATCTTTTAGATGAGACGTTAAACCAAAGCCTTGTTACTCAAACTAAAAATCAGAACACCCTGCAACATTTTCCTTTCAATTAGTTACAAAAATGAAGGCCATCTCTATCATCTGCTTTTTGAATCCTGTGACATGCAATTTGCTGTCATGCCGTCAACATAATAGCAACTATACTCCAAAAGCCATTATTTTGATGTGAACTGTGTGAAATAACTGGGGTGCATTAGACATTACATCAATTAAAATGAATTTTTTCCATCACCCCAAGATGAATTATTGCACAATATTTAAGAAAAGCAACGTTTAGAGTGTCACTCAATTTTCCCAGAATATACAAGGCCTGCATTTGTTTAAGAGGGATATGAGCCAAACACAGGTAAATGGGACTAGTTTAGTTTGGGAAAGATGGTCAGCATGCATGAGTTGGACTGAAGGGTCTGCTTCCTTGCTGTATGACTATGTGCGTTCAACTAACAATGCATACCAATTTTAAACAATTTATAAAGGCAACACACCTTAAAACTGATTTGTTTTGCCAATTCTTTTGCCTCCACGTCAGCCATACTTGGAATGCCACTTTCCGTGCATGGAAGGAGGGCTGTCCTCATGTGGGAACCACAATTTTCACAGTTATAATCTTGTGACCTAAATTATAAAAAAAATTAAATTTGAGATACACAATTGCTGTTGTGCCCACAGGTCTTTATGTTCCATTGCTCAACAAGCAGCAGTCAATTGCCTTACATTGATCATTGTACAGATGAACAGATGCTGTTTAGCAAAGCAATCAATTCACGCATTTGAAAAAAAAAATCCTTAATAACTTTGGTACACAGCTCTCAAGTTAGCTTGTTTAGAACAACTGCTTTTGTTTTTAATTCACTCATGGATGTGGGTTTTGCTGGCTGGGCCAGCATTTATTGCCAATCCCTGGTTGTCCAAGAAGATGGTGGCAAGCTGCCTTGAACTGCTGGGGTCCACGCTGTAGGTATACTCGCAATGTTGTTAGGGAAGGAATTCCAGAATTTTGACACAATAACACTGAAGGAATAGCAATGCTTTTCCAAGTCAGCATGGTGAGTGGCTTGAAGGGAAAGTTATAGGTCACGGTGTTCCCATTTATCAGCCCCCCCTAGCCTTGTAAATGGATGTGGTCATGGAATTGGAAGGTGCAGTCTAAAGATCTTTAGGGAATTTCTGCAATGCATCCTGTTGATGGTACATACTGCTACTACTGAATGGCAGAGGTGGAGAGAGGGGATGTTTGTGGATGTGGTGGCAATCAAGTGAGCTTCTTTATCCTGACTGGCGTCAAACATCCAGAGAGCTGTTGGATCTGCACGCATCCAGGCAAGTAGAAGCATTCCATCACATTCCTGACTTGTGTCTTGATACTGGATAGGCTCTGGGGAGTCAGGTGGCTAGTTATCTGTGTCAGGGTTCCATGCTATTATCTCTTTTTAACCAAGCCAATTTGAGATAATCTGATATCTAATTTCTAATCTATTAGAGTGTCAGAATCTCTAATTCTATTCATCTTGCATATTACGCATGATTAAACATTGTTCTAGTATTATAAATTTTGGTATCCATTTTCTTTTTCTATCAGTTTTGAGAGAGCAAAGGGGCTGAGGTAGTGGAAGGGAAACACATTCTTTCAAAGAATCATACTTTTGTTTAAATAATACAAATACCTGAAACAAAAAAAAAAAAAAAAAAAAACACTTACTTTTTGGCTAGTGCTTTTCTTTCATCAGGAGTGTAATCCAGAGAACCAATAGCTCCTTCTCCCTTTGTTGGCATGAACCCAATAATTGCCAGCAGTGCTGTCCGGACTAGGAATAAATGCAATATGATGATTTAAAACCATTTTCATAAAAAAGGTACTTTTGTTTCTCACTTTCCGTCCCGATGTCTATATATGAACTATGTGCCATGACAATTAAAATGTTATAACAAAATGAAAAGCTGTATTGAAATTTTAAGAGACAGCACAATTCCAGTTTGGTTTCTTCTTGTTTCTTGTGCCCAAGGAGGACGTAGAAGCAAGAGGAGAATCTGCTTGGTATCTTGCCACTATTGTATGGCTATAGTAGGAAGCTTTCAGAATAAGGAATCATGATCCTACCTGTACCACTCCACAGCAGAATGGACTAGTCCTAAAGTGTTACCATGACAGTCACTGCAGAGCTATGTCTAGTGATCAATGGGTCAACAGTTTCAGCTGTTAGCACATTTTCCTCGGAATCACAAGGTTCAAGTGAGTTCAAATGCTTGACCACTCAAAACAAAAATCAGGCTGTCACTCCAGTGCAGCATGTGTTTGTATGGACTGTAATCGTCTCACCTTTTCTTCAGCAATTCCATAAGAACTTGACTAATTTGTTGGAATTTAATCCACAGCAACATGATTTGAAGATCATTCACGACACAGGAAGAGACAATTATTGTAGCAGACGGCTTATCAAGAGCAAACAAAGAAAATGAATGCCCTGACGTTGTTACTGCTGAAGTAAATTCTGTATGAATAGAATAGATATGGGGTGGAGAGGAGAAGAAACAGTAAAAGAAAAATGAAAATGCCTTTTAAAAGACTTTTTCCATGCGGAAGTGAGAAGATGGTTCATGGTATTTTACTATTTACATCTTGTGCTCTGAAGTGGATAGAATCACAGAGCTTCAAGTTTAATTGGCACTTCCATTACACAGATGTTAATAAAGGATATGTTAGTTTCATTTGGAGTTCTCAAAGTAATGTCAGGTTGTCTTGTTTGTTTACATGCATTCAGATAAGGCCCTTAAGAAACATTGGTGAATAATTCAGTCTACAAACAGCAAAAAAAAATTGGGCTGTAGCCTCGCAATAAAGGTACCTATGACTAAAGGAAGCAATGACAGAAACAGATTTCCGTTAGATAGTCCTCTATCTAGCAGCTGAGAGTGTGAAGGGTATATGTGCATGTGCTGTGCAGGTTTCTTGCGGGGAAAAAGGTCTGCGTGAGCAGCAGTGCAATTTAGCAGTCTACAGCAGTGTCAGGGCAGGAGGGAGTTTTTTTTTCCCCCGTTATTCATTCGTGGGATGAGGGCGTCGCTGGCCAGGCAGCATTTATTGCCCATCCCTAATTGCCCCAAGGGCAGTTCAGAGTCACATTGCTGTGGGTCTGGAGTCACATGTAGGCCAGGATGGCTGTTTCCTTCCCTACAGGACATTAGTGAACCAGATGGGTTTTCCTGACAATCGACAATGGATTCATGGTCATTATTAGATTCTTAATTACAGATATTTATTGAATTCAAATTCCATCATCTGCCACGGCGGGATTCGAACCGAGGTCCCCAGAATATTATCTGGGTCTCTGGATTAACAGTACAGCGATAATACCACTAGGCCATCGCCTCCCCCATCTTGAAAAGTTCAGGAAACAGAAGGCTGTGGAGTTTAAGGAACGCCTGTTAAGACAGTATGTATACATTTCTGATCGCCTTCTAAACAAAGGATATTATTAAATCGGAGGGTTCAGAAAAGACTTATCAGGATACTCCCGGCACCAGAGGGTTTGGGTTATAAGGAGGGGTTGGGACTTTTTTCACTAGAGCAAAGAACGTCAAAGGGCGACCTTAGAGAGGTTTATAAAATCGTGAGGGGCATAGATAAGGTGAATAGTAAAAGGTCTTTTCCACCAAAGGTCGAGGAAGTTCAAAACTAGGGGGCATATTTTTAAGGTGAGAGGAGAATTTTTTTTTTTTTTTTTTTGTTTAAAAAAATCTAAGGGGACCTGAGGGGCAACTTTTCCCACACAGGAGGTAGTTGACGTACAGCATGGAAACAGACCCTTTGGTCCAACTCATCCATGCCAACCAGACATCCCCAATCTGACCTGGTCCCACTTGACAGCATTTGGCCCATATCCCTCTAAGACACTTCCTATTCATATACCCACCCAGATGCCTTTTAGATAATGTAACTGTACACACCATGTGGAATAAACGGCCAGAGGACGTGGTAGATGCAGGTAGAATTACATTTAGAAGATTTTTTTTTCTTTATTCATTCACAGGATGAGGGTGTCACTGTCCAGGCAGCATTTATTGCCCATCCCTAATTGCCCAGACGGCAGTTCAGAGTCAACCACATTGTTGTGGGTCTGAAGTCACACATAGGCCAGACTAGGAAGGAAACTGCCATCCTTACCTGAAGGACGTAAGTGAACCAGATGGGTTTTTCCCGACAATTGACAATGGATTCATGGTCATCATTACATTCTTAATTCCATACATTTATTGAATTAAAATTCCACCTGCCATGGCAGGATTTGAACCTGGGTCCCAAGAACATTATCTAGGTCTCTGGATTAACAGTCCAGCGATAATACCACTAGGCCATCGCCTCCCCCTATTTGGACAAGTACATGAATAGGAAAGGTTTAGAGGGATATAGGCCAAATGCAGGCAAGCGGAACTAGTTTAGTTTGGGAGTAACAGGAGGCTGGAAGAACACAGCAGGCCAGGCAGCATCTGGAGGAAAGGAGCAGTCAACGCGTCAGGTATTATCCTTCGAAAGGGCTGAGGTAGGGGGAGCTGCAGATAAAGGAGGGAGGGGGGTTAGAGGTGGAATGGCGGTGATAGGTGGGGACTGGTGATAAGTATGACCTGGTTAGTCGATGGGAGAGATGAATCCGGTTTAGTTTAGTTTAGTTTGGGAAACTTAGTCAGCATGGATGAGTTGAACCCAAAAGGGTCTGTTTCTATGCTGTATGACTAATGATAATAACAACTGACCTGTGTTAACAGTTTAAGGGTTAAATGAAGTGGCATCAACTTAAAAAAAAAGTAACATTGGGTGACTCAGAGGTTTGCTGGGAAGAAACCAAGTACAGCCACGCCAACTGAACAAAAGAATTTTAAAGAAGCAGGGTTACTTTCATCTCAGGTTTAATTATCTGTAAGCTTGTTGTTGAAGATAAAACAGTTAAATCCATCTTTGAGATACTTTTAATAAGATTGTAAGAATTATTTTAAACAAAGTGTAAAACAATTTGTATTTTTTCCCCCTTTGATGTAATAAACTTCAATGTTTGTTAAAAATATATTGGAAGCCAAATGTATGCTCAGTGACTGACCACTATGGTAAACAAATTTGAAAATTTAGCTTATGGTTATGAAGCCAGGTCTCCTCCTGGGATCTGATTTGTCATATTGCATTTTGAAAATTGCTTTGAGAAAACTGGTGGTTGCATTTTTTTTTTAAAAATGCTACAGTTGCTACAAGATGACGACTTGGGTTAATACTGGACACTGGAAGATACTCACTGCTCCAGGATGGTTGCCAAGTTTCAGGATGATGTCCCGAGATGCTTAAACATATCTTCTTTCCTACTTCGAATCTTCCATTAGGCTGAAACAAAAAGATCTATTTAAGCAGCAGTAGTAAACAGCAAATAAAACTTCCAGTAAACAGATAGCTTGGAATGAAATTACTGCCCATTTTAAACTAAATCATAACATGTGGAATACCAATAAACTTCAGTTGACCATTTTACAAACTTGTCAAAAAGACTGAAAGCAAGCCAAACTAAGTTTTGTTGTGCTTCAACTTATGGAAAAGTTTCCCAAAATCTTCCTAATTTAAAATGTTTTTGTCAGCCAGCTGGAATGACTGATATACCTTCTCCTGCATCTTAAAAATTTTACTGCAGAAAAAGATGCTAAAGCACGACTGAAAAGAATAAACCACGTAAAAGGTCCAAATGCATTTCTATACCAAATTTCTTGTTCCATTAACAATGTAATAACTGAATATCTCAGAAAGCCTCAAAATTGACCTTAATGCTTGTGATTATGCAACAGAACAAGTGTCACATTCTTCCTTAGCAGCAAACTGAAAAAAGGTTTGGTAAGAACAGTTCAAATGTTCCTTGGAACAGGAAGTGATCTTTGGAGGAGGAAAATATTCAACTTCCTGTCTTCGAATGCTTTATTTTAAGCAAACAAAAATCAACCTCCGTATCAAGGCTATTGCAAAAAAAAAAAAAAAAAGTTTATTTTGTTAGAAATGCCACAAAACAGTTGCCAACTTGGCTTGAGTTAATATTCTCTCATCCAAATTAAAGGTTATGAAATCAAGCACCACACTGGAGCTTGCAAGTAAGGTGGAAGATTAGTTGTAATTTTACGGAATGCCTGAGCAGGTTCAGGGGCAGTGTGGGGGTCATTTCTTATGCTTTTATAATTTAAGTCAAGGCTTCACTACAACACTCCCACAGTTGGAGCTGTCGTCTTTTAGAGGAGACACTAAATAGGAAGTCCAGCCTGCCTGTCCAACGGGACATATTTCCTCTTTGGATAGTGCCACAACATTTTTTTAAAAACGAGTTTGACAAATGCACAGGCCAAGAGTTCCAGAAAGGAACTGAATGTGTCTATGTATTGATAAACCTATATAAATTAAAACATTATTTTCATACACAAGAGAAAATATACAGAAATACAGATCATATCTCTCCTGCATTTCAGCACTAATTGAGCAAACAGCTGAATACAACTGGGACAGATCGAGTTTATACTCCTCAGGATTCCTGAAATAGAGGCTTTATTACTTAATCTCATTCAATGGTGAAAAGACAAAACAAGGTGGATTACATAAAGATACCAGGAACATTTTTTTTCCCCACTAGCCACACATAGATGACGGAGTATTAAAACAGCCTTCCAATGTGCACATATTGTCATGGAAATTTCTTGGCGATTTGCTGTTATGTTAACTATTTCTGCACATAACCAGAGGCATTTTAAAAAAGGTACTTCAGACACACTTACTGTCAAGAGAATAATGCTGGGTGGTTTCATGGGATATTCTGGAGGAAGCACAATTCGGCCATGGTAAACACCACCATCAAAGTCAGAATCTGGAGGACCCCGGACGGTAAAATGCCACTCAAAGAGATTATCCTTAAAGCAAAAAGGAAAAAAAAAGCTAAAAAAAGTTTGGAAAGTATAAACACGCACACTATTCATCTGCAACATGCAAGCATATTTGAAAGTGATAGCATTATCTATCTTTTAATTAACCATACTGGGTTATTAATGGGATTTTAATAATCTAAAATAGCTTGTTTCTTTCATTTCGGTGACAAGTGTCCTTTTTTTTTTAAAAAGGAAAGTAAGTGTTTTTTTAGCAGGCATCCACTAATTTGCACGGCTGAACAGGGCAAGCAACAGAAGCTCCTCAGTCAGACTGAAGTATCCTCATTGAGACAGCATACAAATAAATAACGAACTACAAAAATAGGAATCATAAGATTTTAAAAAGAGAAATCAAAATAATATTCAGAAAGTACACATGGGATGCGGGATGAGGGAAGAGCAGATGGTCAAGAGATAGATTTGGGTGGGGTGGGAGGGAAATAGTGCTGATAGATAAAAGAGAGAAACATGCAGGCCAATCTGTATGAAGTTGCTTGGAGAAATTAGACCACAAACATTTTAAAAGTCATCTTTTCAGAACCAGAAAGGATGTTAATTTGTAATTATTTCACCCACTCACTCACTTCAAATGTACCAGCACTAACCTTTCTATACATCCCTCAGACTTCAACTTAAAATGGGCAAAGTGGCTGAAGGTTTTGTGTGAACCATCAGAAGGACTGCAACTAGACGCTGTGGAGAAGGCTATCTTTGGCAACAACTTCTTTAACAGCACGTGCGCAGATGTTGGGTAACCTTGCCATTATTATAGAAATAGAAAATAGGAGCAGAAGTAGGCCATTCGACCTCCTCCCACTTTCTCCCTTTGATCCCTTATCTAAGTCCTTCCAGAAAATATTCAATGTTTTGGCCTCCAACTGCTTTCACCGTACTCTGGGTGAAGGTGTCCCTCATCTCAGTCGTAAATGGCTTACCCCATATTCTCATTGTGACCCCTGGTTCTCGACTCCCCGGTCATTGGGAACAATCTTCCTGCAATTACTCTTTCTAGTCCTGTTATAATTTTATATATTTCTATGAGCTCACCGCCCATTCCAAGCTCCAGTGAATATTACCCTACCTGCTTCAGTCTCTCTTCACAAGTAAGTCCTGCTATCCAAGGAATTAGTCTTGTCGACTTCTATTACACGCGTTCCATTGCCACAATATCCTTCTTCAGGAGATCAAAACTGCACACAATAATCCAGGTATGGGTTCACCAAGACCTTGTACAATTGTAGCAAAACATCCCTGCTCTTGTACTCCGATCATTTCACTACGAAGGCCAATCTATCATTTGCCTGCAATACTTGTATTATTACATCATTTCCAAAGATAACAGCACAACAGCAAGGGATCAATAACTGTGGCATAATAAACTAAAACCGGTGATAACTCATGGTCTATCAGCCTGCCGAGCCACAGTTTTATAATGCAAAACCAAACCAAGACGTATTTTTGGAATCAGCTTCACTGCCAGATGACTCCAGCCAGCATCAATAAGTAGAATGAAAAACTCAAACTGTTCTCACTAGCTTGAATTGAATGTGCTTCACAGAAGCACTGGTAGAAATGTGGAACAGGAGGATGGGAGATTGGGGACACCACAGTCACATCCTGCCAAATAGAGTACATAATTGTCATCCCTCAGTCTTCTGCATGAAAGCCAATTTCCTACCCATGTCAAAAGGTTGCTTCCAATTCCATGTATTTAATTTTCTGTCAACAGTGTCCTGTGTGACTAGTAATGGAATGCCTTCGGAAAGTCCATACAAGCAGCATCGATAGAAACTTTCTAAAGAACAAGAAATGGAAGGAGTAGATTATATGGCTTTTGAGGCTACTCTTTGTCACTCAGTAGGATCGTGGTTGATCTTGGATTTCAACTCCACTTTGCTGCCCGCTCCCACTATCCCATCATTCCATGAGAAACCAAGTTTGGCCAATCCAGGCTTAAATTTATTCAATGATGGAGCATTCACAGCCCCCTGGGAAAGAATTCCAAAGATTCACAATTCTTTGAACGAGTAGTTTCTCATCACCTTAGTCCGATATGTTCAACATACAATCCTGCAACCCAGCATGTTAGATTCCCCAAATTGCAGAAACAACCTCTCAGCATCTACCCTATCAAGCCCCTTCAGAATTGTGCAAGACTCGACAAGAATACCGTTCATTCTTTTAATAGGACTAATTTGACTAGTGTCACACCAGGGGACAACCCTTCACCCCCAGGTACCAATTTAGTGAACTTGCGTCATCCCACCTCCGATGCAAATACTTTTTTTTTTGTAGACCAAAATTGGGTACACGATTCCATATATGGTTTTAATACCACACCGTAGAACTGTAACAAGACTTCTTTACTCCTACACTCCAATCCCCTTACAAGAAAGGTCAACTGGTCACGTAAATATTCAAATTCATCTTCTAGACCACTCCTGCGATTTTAATTGTCCAAATCTGCGTACATATTAAGATTTCCACAATTATTACAATGAAGCTTGTAGCAACAGCTTTATTTTCTAATTTAATACTCAGACCAAAGATATCACTGCCATTAAGAGCCTATAGGCTATTTCTACCACTGCTTTTTTTAAAAAAAGTTTGCTGTTTCCAGTTTCCATCTGTATTGATACTGCTTCACGATCATCGGAGCCAGATGCTGTCTCACTAATGTCCTCTCCGTATCCTTTACTATCTGGGCATCCTTCCTATTTTGCCATCCATGTCCTTCTAAAATAGTGCACCCTAGAATATGGTTTCCCACTCTTAATCACATCTCTCGAACGGCAATTAGATTCAAACCATTTTTCTCTACTGGTGCCAGTCGTTCATCATCTTCCTGCAGACATTTCATGCATTAAGATAATAAACCTTTACTTTCAGTTCTTTTAAACTCCTGTGCCTTGAAGTGACCTAATTTGCCTTCCTTTCCTGTTACGCTTGCTTTTTTTTTAAAGCAGAAAAGACCCACATCGCAATAGTATCCAGATGTGTCAATCTCTGCAGAGATTTTAATCTTCAGTCACCAAAACCCTCCCAACCATCACTTCCTTATCTACTATGTAAGCAATCTCAAATGGTTAAGTCTACAATTTCCTGCTTTCTCTCTTTCACACTTAATGAAGCTGCATCCACAATTTTCCAAAGGAACTATTCTTGAATCAAAATAATATACATAACATCTGACATTGTAGTAAGTTATAATCTGCCCATTTAATGTGACTGCAGATCAAGTTAAAAATCAATATTTTACACCTGTTTAAGAAAACAAAAAAACCCAAATAAATAAACCCAGTGTTTATTCAGCACTGAAGGCTTTGGTTCGTCCAAAACAAAATTAGGTGTCACAATGTTAATCACTTCTATTGTTCTATGGCTCACTGGAAATGTAAAATAGGCTCTGTGATATAGTCAAACAAACTAACCTCAGGTCCAACAATTTTGCATTCCTTATGAATGGCAGAGTTGGCTTAAGAGACTGAATGATCTGCTCCCATTTCAGATGTTCTCAAAGAAAACACATTTATTCCAAAGCATCCCATATTCTTGAGACTACACCCAAATAGCAAGGTTATGTATCAATCAGCTACTAAGGAATTAAAAGATGCTCCATCTCTCCCAGTTTCTTCCCCCACACTTCAAATATTTTAGATTTCATCGGTTTCTTGAAAATATTCAGTGACTCTGCCTTCACAACATTGTGGTACAGAATTTTACAAGTTCACTATGCTTTGAGTGAAGAACTTTTTTCTCAACTCAGTTCTAACTGATCTGCCCTGTATCCTGAGACTGAGGTCCCTGCTTCTCGACTTACCAAGCAGGGAAAACATTCTCTCTGCATCTAGACTGTCTAACCCTGTTAGACTTCTATATATTTTAATCAGATCCCCTTTCATCCTTGTATACACTAGTCAAGATAGGACCAGTCAAACATAACCCCCCCCTCACATGACGGTCCTGACAACCAGTCTATCAGCCTCATGAACTTCCACTACACTCCCCCATGATAAATATTTCCTTTCATAGTAAGATAGCCATAATTCTGAACTCAAATCCTCTTGCAATGAAGGCCATTATATCATTTGCCTTCCTGTTAGCTGCACTCATCAATCTGCTTTCACTGACCAGTCTACAAGGACACCCAGATCCCTCTGAACATCCACACTTCCCAGCTGATCAATTAAATTATACCCTTACTTTCTCTTTTTCACACTGAAGTGTATAGCTTCCATTTAGCTATTTGCATTGCATCTACCATCTGTTTGCCAACTCGGTCAACTTGTCTAAATCACCTTGAAGCCTCTTGCTGCAGCCTCAAAACCTCAGTGATTTTGTCATCAGCAATCTGAAACATTGCCTGGTTCTCTCATCTAGATCATTTGTAAGTAGCTAGGGACAAGGCACTGACCCTGGAGATATTGTACCAGTCATTAGTGTACTAATGAGATGGCTGTTCATGTCTCCATTCCATAAGCAAAAGCATAAATTCCAAATGACTTTCATTTTGAAATTAATCTGGTCTTACCTCCAAAGGCTGTGCATGGTATTGTTCTGTTGGGTCTTTCAGCTCTTGTGCTTCTTTCATTAAACGTTTAACAGCTGTTAAAACAAAATAGACCTTTCTTAAACTTCAGCATAAGATTAGTGATTAAAAGGTCAAAGTGATTCTTAGCTCTTGACAGTTCATATCTCTATTTCCATCTGGTATCTTTTAAGCCCAGAACAGTCTTTCACAATAAAGGTCTATGCTGGAGGAATTTCCCCCTAGCTCAAGCTAGGGAAATCTTCCAGCCTATTTAAAATGCTCACAATTCTTTCACTCAGCAATTCCTCCTGGTCTCATTCCTGTGCAATGAACTAGAGCAACTTGCAGCCTCTAGCTGCTCTTAGGGTCCTGGTTTGAATTTGCGAACATAACAGACAGTGTTTTCCTCTTAAAGATGATTTCAATGATGTTTGGCTACTCTTGAAATACCAACTCTATTCTACTTTGAAGTGAACAATTTAAAGAATGACCATTTATAATACATTTCAATGCCTTCCTGAGACTTTAGAGACTAGAAGTCAAACCATTGTAAACACAGATGCTGCTGCCATTGTCTCCAAGCATGAACAGTGCTGGAAGTTCTTTCCAGCAGAATAACAGTCTTCCCTTGAATCTTCAACAGTCTCATAACTTAGACCTTCTGTCAGCAAGACTTAAGAGAAGGTTACATCGCACCTTCAAATCACAATAAATTAAAGACAGTCCATAAAATAAGCTTCTTTTTACTCATGAAATGTGGGAATTGGTGGCAAAACCAGCATACAATATACATCCCTAACTTCCCTGAATTGAAGAGGTATTTTTCAACCACTGCAGTTTACACAGCAAGTGTACACGTCACAATACTTTTAGGGACATCCAGGAGGAACACCATGGTGTGAAGTCAGAACGTTATGCAACTTAAAGAACTCGGAAGATAGTCTCTCCATGCACTGTTGTTCTTGTCCTTCTAGTTGGCAGAGTTAGAAGGCTTGTGAAATACTTGTAACAAACCTTAGCAAATGAATATTCCTTACCATTGTAAGTACCTAAATTTAGTGACAAATTGGATGAAATTTATAGTCTCATTTGAGAAATTGCTGCAAAGTAACCCAAGATCAACAGGGATTTGAACTATTAAAAATGCTTTGTTTGGCAGGGAAAGCACTGGAGGTTTATTCAACCCTTTCAGATGAGTACTCAGTTAATCATGATATGCTTAAGACTGTTATCCTTAATATATACAAACGATAGAAGTCCAGAAATCCGAGGAAGGGAGAATCAGACAAAAAAATCTTTTAGGAATCATACCAGAAAACTGTAAAGTCTCTAAACTAAAGACAGCTGCAGGTTTCACTGATTGTGGAATATAACAATCAGTTTATAACAAACACACTAGATGCAACAAACCTTTGTAGGCAATCATATTCTGGAATGGTAAAGAATTTAGTCCCTAAGAGGGCATCAATTGCCATAAGGGTAATGAGAAGAGATTGACAATTCTGTGCAGTGAAAGAAATGAAGTGAATGATAAACAATTCAAGGAGACATATTACTTTGCCATAAAGCTGGACATGTGAGAGCTGACTTGGGGGCTGACCAATAAGTGAAAGGTGATGCACTTGGGCAGGACAAACAAGGCAAGGGAATACATGATGAATAGTAGGACCCTGAGAAGCAGAGAGGATCAGAGGGAGAGAGAGCGAGATAGTAGGAACTGCAGAATCGGAGATAACAAGGTGTAGCGCTGGATGAACACAGCAGGCCAAGCAGCATCAGAGGAACAGGAAGGCTGACGT